CTATACATTACGTGTTACAAATGTATTACTGTTACTGTATAATGTTATTAATATATTTTTACGACAAGAACATATATATCTTTTCGTTTAAATGATATATGGCTGTTACATATATATTTAATTACAATATTTTTAATATATAATTTTAATAATGAAAATATACACAGATATTGTCACATTATCCTACTCATAATTATATTACTAATTGCACAAATTTTTAAAAAGTGATATATAAATGGCATTTTGTTTAATAAGCGTGACCATTTTCACGTTTGAGATAAATAATAATTTACTAATAATATTGCACTTATATTGTTCCCAATAGTGATACACATGACAATAATGTCAAGAAATTATAAAAAATTAGAAATACAAAAAAATATATTAAAGTCGTATATAACTTAAATTCAAATAATGACATAAAAAACTGAAAAGTAATGCAACAAAATAATAGATCTGTCTCTTGAATGTTCATTATTGTTTTCTATTATGTATATACAGAATGAGTCACTTAATCTTAGACACTTAAATATATAACAAATCAAGCAGAATAGAAAGAAATGTTCCTTTGAGGCCTTTGTTTTATTTTTTATATATTTAGGCTTCTAAAATTAAGTGACCCATACCACATGCATGCACGCACGCACGCACATACATACATACATACAAATACATACACACATTCTAATGATAAAATATAAGAGAATTATAAAAAAGTCCCAGTTTTGTGTGATTGTGGTACGGCTGAATTAACATAATTTAACAAGCAGATCAGAGATATTTTATATAATAAATTATAAAAAGTGTTTTTAAATGTTTCACATCCGTTATTTTAGATGAAAAATTGCTGATACAATACGATTGTATTGTTGAACTTTTTTTATGGTTAATAACACATACAATACGGACTGCATATGTCTCTTATCCTTATCATGTATGTACAGTACGATAAAAGTATTAAAATATTTAAGGGAGACAGCTACGTTATCTAGAGGCAAACTGTTTTATCCTTATATTTCTATTTCTATCTTTTATATATACACATATAAAAAAAATTAAGTAAAAACAATATTTATCATTACATCGTCCCACCAAAGGATGGATTTCTACTCTGATATATACGTAAACGATACATCTTTTTTTATTTCTCTTACACAAAATCTTGTCTTGTGCATGTATATATGTATACAAGTTAAAGAAAATCTACAAACTTAAACTGCATATACGCGTAGACGTTCATTGGTTTGCCGCTATTCAGTCTTTTACAAACGTTAATGAGATGATACGCAATATAAAATCTATATTCAACAGTGTCATGTCTTGTATTAGATCGTGCAATGAAACATATTTAAATAATGTGAAGTGTATAATTTTTTAGTAACCTAATCTAGTAATCTAGTAAAATAATATAATTATAATAGATTAGAAGGGATTCTACTTCGTACTTATGTAAAATTTGACAACATAAAAAAGAAGAAAAACAAAATAGGAGAAGCTACTCTATCATGAAATGAACATATATATATATGTGTGTGTGTATATAATAATACGTGTGGTCAAGATTTGAGAGGAAGATAATCCTAGTAAACTTGATGCACTATACAAGAGTATTTACAATTAAATTAAATGTTAAAGACATATATATCGAAATAATTGCGCATACATATTTGATACTATTCCTGTACAACGTCGGGGAAGCCTGGGATTTACAATGTTTGAAATTGCGTGACAAGAGTCTTGGTTGCTTTGGCAATATCGTAAGCGCATGAACGTACTTGCTGTAGACAACGGTCCATGTGCTCGGCATCACTCGTGCATCTCTGAAGGCCCGAACATTCCGCCTGAAGTCTACCGGTGTTACCGTTCAATTGGCGTAAAGCAGATCTGATGTTTTCTTCTATAGGATTCTACGATAAAATATAGATAAAAGTGAGAATCTTTCTCACAATCTGACAGGTCACTGACAAGGTTTGAAGACTATTGTCCTATCGTAGAATTTGGTATAGCAAGCACATTTCGCCGTTTAATAATATTTTGTGTGTGTGCGTGTGTGTGTGTGTGTGTGTGTGTGTAATAAACCAATGAAATGTCTTAAAAATAATCTATCTCACCTGAGGAAATATGGCAGTCAACTCGGCAACGGCGACGCGTATTCTTTCCGCGCAAGGGACAAAAGCTTCTCGCTGGCTAGGATCTTGCATGGCTAACCACAGCTCTTGAATTCTCCTGGTAACTTGTTCCGTTCGTCGTGTCACTTCCTCGCTGGGCGGCAGATTAGGAGCGCCGCATTCCCACAGGCTCTGCGTGTTGTTCCGTGACAACGTTTCCGCGTCGCGTTTCGTCTGAAAAAGAACGGTACGAAGAGACACGGTTACACAGTATGCACGATACAATCCCCCCCCAATTCCAAGTCCACATATATGTATACATATATATAACATATATATAAAATTTAATTCAATAAAAATTTCAGTAAGGAAACAGATTTAAAGAACAAAAAAAAAAACGTAATTTAAACGGTATCGCTACTTTCATTGTCCACAAAATCGGAATCTTTATTAAATATTTTGATGGACCGGAACCGGACCGATATTGTCATTCGGTCCGGGTCCCTGAAAGAGAGAAATCAACGCACTTGGCAAATGGTGGTCGACCACGAAGTTGGTTTCCGTAAGCCTTCTCTCGTCTCGTACATTGATGCCGGTCGCTGATTACCCCGTATAGTAGACGTCTTGATGTCGTGCACTGGCTCTAGTTCTGGCTCTTGTTCACCGCCGACGTGTCCGTTTATGCTGCCATCGCCGGAGTTTTTTACCTGGATTGATATCGTCGATCCTTTAGACCCAGTATTTTAATAATCGTCACATGAAACTTACCTCAAATGAGATGATGCTTAGATCAGAATATAAACTTTCTTTTTAAATGTTCAGCACAATCATACAGGGTGTATCATTTAAGTTGACACAAGTTGAAATATTTCCTTATGTTGGTCAATGCAATACTATAAAGTTAATAAAAAATTCTGCAAAAATTCTCAAAGCTCTATGAGAAGAAAATAAACAATTTCTGTCTCTTGCTATTTTTCTTTGATAGAATCCGTAGTAAGAAATTACCGAGGAACGAATAATTTGTAGTTACTTCTCTTAGAAGATTAGTCTTCTCTATCTTAAGAAATAGAGGTCATACGAAAATATTTTCCAGACAGAAGTTTTTCGTTTCTTTACGTGGAATAAAATTTCGTAGTAAAAAATATTGATTACGGAATTTCAAATTTATTATGATATTTCGCTGTGTCAACTTAAATGGCACACCCTGTACATATATAGTGGACGGTGTTATCGGAAAGAGAAAACAACTTGCTTGTCATGTGCGAAATAAAATCTTATGTAGTTACTTGTAGCATATGTTTCAATTCGCTGTTCTCTTGAGTGAGCTGCTCGACAGTAGTCTGTAACGTATGCACTTGTTCGCGCAGATCTCGTACGGTTGATTCGGACAGGGTCAATTGTTTCTTCAGTACCTCCACCATAGACGGTAGACCTTTGGCCATCGGTTCAAATGCTTCCTGAAACAACGTGGCGCCGCGATCACAATGCTTGCTTTAAAACGGTATCAAGCAAGGAACGTAGAGCATGTTACAATGATCACGCAAAATCAATGTTATATAATGCTGTACGCATTATTATGATTATGATGATGATAATGATGATTATTATGTTATGAACGAATAAATCGTGACGTTTAGTGGTGTACGGATTGCGAGTAATTGTGTGAATAAACGCCTAGCAGCTAATTAATGTTTCAAGAAAGATGGTCAAATCCGGCGCTCTTGGCGATGGTTGCGCATGCACAAACAGACCTGTGCACTTGCCTAATAACACTGCCTACAGAAAAGCCACGTGCTCAGCCAATTCCTTATTCCTCTTTTTGTTACTAGTGGCGGTACCTTCAATATTTTATCAAACAGCGATAAAACATGTCAACATGACTCTTTCATTTTTTTTTATCATAAATCGCACAATTTAAGGAAATATAAGTTATATTCTAATATCGGTTTCTGTATATTCTTACATATATGTGTACATACAAGAAGAATTAAGCGACTTGTATAAAACTGGGTATACTCACGTATATATTTTTACTCACACAGGAATGTTTAATACGGTCTAAACTATTATTCCAAACTATTGGCCTGTTCTTTTTGACTGAACTGGCTATACTAGTTCGAGAAATTTACGCGCGCCGAAGTGTGAGAATCTTGTGCGTAGACACTTCGTGCTCTTCAACGCTTGTGTAAATTTAAACTAAAACTATCCTGATGGAAATATTCTGCTGAAATATCCTCTCAACCGATAATATTTCCATCAGGATGGCGCGGGCAGTTCAGTTAAAGTGGACAGATCATATCGCTATATCACGAGAAGGTGCAGAATTGCGTTTCTTAAAGTTTTGTGTTTAAGGGATAAAGTCCTGAATAATCTCGGATCGAATTCAAAATTATCGTGGCGCGTTCCTACCTTGTTAACTTCGTTGTCGACTTTGGGCTGACTGGAGACATCGGACGATGTGTTGTCGGTGGATGTCAAAGCGTAATCGTCGTCAGACGCAACGCTATCGTACAAGGGCTCGTCATCGGACACCTGTGATCCGTGTTTACCGAGTTGCTCCTTCCGAAGCATAGACACCGCAGGATCTAAAGAGCAATAAACATCGATATGTAGATATTGATAAAAAAGAAATAAAAAAATGCGGAAAATTACATCACAAAAAACTGTGCTTCTATCATGTATTACTCTGAATTGCGTTGTTGGAAAGCATATGCCTTCGGCCCGCCTCCACCAGTAAATCGATGATGAGAGTGGTGAATTCCTTCGGCGTAAATCTCGCCAATTTCTGCCTTCCTTGGTTCCTAGTGGACGACAGTTGCGGATTAACCGGCAGGAATGGTACGGTACACTTCTCCGGGAGGGATGCAGTCGAGAACCAAACTGCAGAAGACCAAGATGTTGTATGCTTATTTGCGTGTTTTCAGTACACGTGTCTCAATGTCGGCATTTTTTATTAAAATCAATTTTAACCATTCGAGCGCGAAGTAACGCGGTGAAAAAGCGCTCAGGATCTAGCAAGATTTTATATATGTACATGTCCAGAGAATGTAAAGGGTTAAACTAAAATTACGTTGCTAAATTTAAACGATCTTTACTCACCCTTCCATAGGAATAGCGTAACAAAAATACATGTGATATCTCGTTAGTAATTGAAATTAACCAATTTCGTCTATAATATGAGGCATAAAATGCTATGACTTAAAAACGTGTACTCACTTGTTTCTGTTTCTCGACGGTCTACTTCATCGTAGACATCCATAGCTAGTTCCTCCAATAAGTGGTTGGGCAACTAAACATAAGAGATAAAGCGAATCGATAGTACACGGCAATAATGAAGGATATACTCGGTATATCCTGAGTGAGGCAGCGTTACGAACCATTTGCAGTCTGTTTCTTCTTTCCAAAGCTAACTCGTTCTTGTCCAGATTGGAAGCCAAATCGGAGATGATGAGATGTTCATCACCTCGATGGCTCGGCTTACGGGAGCACACATGATACGTCAATCTATCTGTCACGTCGTACATATATTCAATTATGCGTTCGGACAAATCTATGTGTCCTGCCATTCTGAAACGATAACGAGAAAAATAGTGAAGAATTCGACCGTGTTGATATATTGTCTGACTGCGTATTGAAAATGTAATTGCTACTCACTTGGCGATATCAGCGGCTGTTTGTCCGTTTAAATCTATTATGCTTGGATTTGCGCCATTGGCTATCAAAAGTTCCACCTGAAGAACTTGTCCAGCGCGAGCTGCTACATGCAAAGGAGTAGTTCCTTTTTCCTAGAAATACATCATGATATTTGTGATTTTATGAAATGATTTTATGTCTTCAGAAAACATAATTATTACATTACACATAATAAGGTTCAGATATATATGTCGTAGGAATCTAGGAATAATATAGAATTATAAGGTATATTTGTACTTGTAAAGTAGTACCTTGTAAAAGTAATTGGGGTTGGCTCCTTGCGCCAATAGCCTCAACGAAGTCTCTAAATTACTTGTACGAACACTACTGTGCAACTGTCTACTGACTTCCTCCTCGGTACAATATTCCTCCTTACTCGGTCGTAATATAAAGGCCAAGTGTTGATGCTTCGCCTTAATAAACTCTGCCTTTATAGGACTGTAAGCAAATAATGTAACAAGAACATAATCCTATATAAAAAATATATATATAAAAATAAAAATATATATATAAAATATATATATAAAATATATATAAAAAAATATACATAGAGTTATTAATTGTAAAGATACTTGATTGAGATATCTAGAATTAAGAGTTCAAAATCTGATACTTAAGAATGTAAAAATTTACAAGAATTCAATGATAATTCCGACAGAATCCAAATATTTGCGAATAAAATGTCTCACATATCACAAGATGGAATTACACATAATCACGATTACTAACTGTAGAGGATCCTTAGCCTGCGGTTTTCTCCTACTAATCTTCGAATTGCTAGGATCTAGCAGGGAATGTTCCCAAATACTGTTGGCTCCATTGTCATTCAACGTATGCACCATCTGAAATATTCCCACTCGGTTACTCAAAGCAATGCGACTTACGCATATTAAAAAAGAAAATACTGAGAAAATCTTTCTTCACATTCCAAGTACTATGTACACTAACATTTAATAGCTGTGCATTCCAAGTACTCTTGTGTAACGACTTAATATGCGACACGTGACGCCCCAGACTGCGATGGATCCCGCAACAATCGTCGCATAGCAAAATAGCTCTGTTTATTGACGCCCATCCCGGCTCTGAAACAACATATCGATCCTATAGTATTGCCTTGATCAAACGGCCACACTGCTTCTGCAGAATTTGATTACAACTTTACAGATTTAATCATAGTCTACAGTGGGCGGTAGGAATACATACATAAGAAATGAGAATAAGAAATTGACCAATCATATTCGAATGTAAGAGGAACAATCGACTATGATTGGTTAATTTCTTACTCTTGCCTCTTATAAACATACTCCTACTGCCTATTGTAGACAATGTTTCACACTTGACATTTAATTGCCTGCAGCCGTCGGCTCAAATCAAAGCGATACCAAAGTGTCCATATTTGACAGAATATTCGACAGGTCGGTGAGAGTTATTTCATCGTATATCAAAAGAGAGAGAGAGAGAGAGAGAGAACGAGAATTTTTTGTAGGACAGGCCTGCAATTATAAACAGAAATGATGCGCTCACCGAGTGCCCCGCAGTCAGCGCACACGTCTGCGTTCACTCTGTGCTTGGGACGTGCCATGCTCTTGTTTTTTTTTCCTCGCTCTTCTCTCCGCTCAGTTAGCGACGCTCTCGCGCATTATAATACCTCGCACTCTCGCGAGCACACGCGACATAATCGACACAATCGACGACGGCGACGACGAAGGCGAGTAACGACGGTAACGATTCGGCACAGGCGTAAAAACATGGATCTTGTGTCATTATGCTCTTATTGCGAGGCATCCGGAAAGAGACGAGGAAGAAAAAAATTGCTCGACGGCGACCGTGACGCCCGCCGGTGGCGAACTCGTCTACCATCGTCGCGCACTAAACTCAGTCGCGAGACCTCGTTGGTAAAACGATACCTCGACTCGTTCCTAGTCTGTATTTTGCGAATAATTTCATCTTTCTTTTTAATCAATACGGACAAGGTCTCTAAATGTGAGGAAAAAAATAAAAGTGAAACGCACATTGGTTCCCTATCGGTAAAAAAGAACTCACCGCGACGTGAGCTTCATTTTCCGACCGCTGGGGTCTAGAAAGACCCCAGGCGACTATTCCCGGGTTAAAAAAATTCACGCACACACACACGCATTTCTCTCGCTATTTAATATCATACAAAATTCCCCGATACAATTTATTTTTCATTAATATTCAGTCATGCAAATATAATAGTTATGATAGTCTAAATATAAAATTCGTAATAATATAAAACTAGTAATACTCTAAATATAAAACATATATATATATATATGTAGCATCGTGTTTACGCGACAAATATATTAAGAAGTATTGTCGATCGATATTACGACTACTTTCTATGCACAGCATTCATACACATATATGTATATAAACCCCGGTCTACAACAGATAGAAGTTTCGAGCTTTAAGCCTTAAGAAACTGACCAGTCGAGTGCGAAGAGAATAATCGACTGCGATTGATCAAATTACTTAGATCTTAAAACACTTGTAGACCGGGACTATAATTTACCTATATTATCATTAAATACTCATATATTATATCGTTGAAAGAAAACGCATTATCGATGTAGAAGGATAACACAAGTCGGGTCACTGCAAATCCGGCGAGTCGGAGTACAAGTTTTGGAGATCCGCGAGTATCTTGTGCGACAGGGAGGTCCTGATGGTTTCAGGATGCGCGTTGTCGCTCGATTCCGCGGAATTGAATCGCTTGACGTTGGGCGTCAGCAAGCAGCTCATGCGCGACTTCAGCGCCAAGTATTCCCTCAAGGGTCTCCCCGTCGTCTTCTCGCCGTCGCTGCGCCCGCTCGTCACCGAAATACCTTTCGACGTGACCGGCGTGACGGATTGACGATGCGCTTCGCCGTTCGTGATGTTCAGCTCGTGCTCCATATTCACGAAACTATCGTTGTCCACTTTCGAGTTCCTCAGGGCTTTCATCAACAGTCGTGCGGAGTGTCGTCTCGCTTTGCACTGGGACTTGGAGCGCTTCGTACGGAACTTCTTCGCGCTCCCTTCGTTCTCCTTGTCGTCCTCGACGACGAAATCGACTTCTCGCCGTATCTCGACGTGGTCCTCCGGCTTCGTAGCTTCGGGCTGGTCGGTTCCCTCAGTCAAGTCGACCGTCCCGGAAGCGTCTTCCGGGCTGTGATCGATCTCGGAGACACGTGGCGTCGATATCGCGTTTATATTACTTTTACCGGTTACTTTCACATTGTCGTTCGGATCTTCAGTCACTCGTCTCTCGCTTTCGATCTTATCGTCGTTGATCACTTTATTCAGGTCGGTCCGCACGGACACCGATAAATTCATCACGTAAGTCGCCGCCAGTTTCAAGCAGGACATGCTCTCCTCCGTCCTGCGGATTACATGTTCCAAGTTGGACGCTAAAATTCGGAGCTCCTTCTTGCTGAGAATCACGTATCCGTCGGGATCATCGTCGACGTCTTCTTGCTGTAAATCCACACGAGAGCCGCTTATAGTCCTGATAGCTCGTAAAGATGCGCACACATCTTCGGTTTTTATCTTCTCCACACCGGGTGTGCATATATTATTCGTTCCCGAGTTAAGATAACTGCCGTTGAACGATTTGATATTCTTCCTCGCGTCCACGTTATATGCGGAAGGCCTTCGTTTGTTTACTACAATATCATCGCTGCTATTTTCATTGCCACAGACGTTACGTTTTAAGATTCCAGTGCCTGAACGCTCTTCTCCCGCCACATCGTTGTTCGCATCCGTTGAATTCGTGCCGAAGAAATGTAAGATGTTTACATCGGACCGATCGTCCGTTTTGTGCGTCTGCGACGATGTGTGCTGTATGACTGACGTCTTGTTATTCTTCTCCCGCGCGACAGGATAGCTCGCAGGTACGTCAGCATCTTCCACGAGAAGCGAGGTACCCTCGGACCCCTCGGATATCCTAGGACACTGGCTCGTAGACTTATCCAAGACACGAGTCTGATTGAGATGTGGCAACGCAGGCATGCTCCGTTTGAATTTGCTCTGTGCAACGTGCATGTCCTTTATGCTGTTCGGCGGCAGTAAGAAACTTTTTCTGTCGTGCGCTTCCAAGTCTTTCCTTTCGGTCACCGCAGGTTTACTGTGCGAATTGTTTGTTCTTACGACCGGCTTGGTTTTTCTTGCGGTGGTCGGCGTTTCCGTAAATCTTAAGTTCCTTCGCACATTCTTCTCGGTATAGCGAAACCAATAGATCATATTTGCTCCTGTAAAGCGATAAATCAGGCAAGGATATGGAGAGTGAAATTGATAATTAATGCGACACAGTTCTATGCTATTCATGAATAAATAAAACAAGAGTAAAACGTGTATACTCACCGCTTTTCTTTTGAGTCGATGTATTCCTCATATAAGGTATGATTTTCTCAGGTTGACTAATTTTAACAACTGAATCTATAAAAATGTAAACATATATCGATACCTAGTAATAGAGTTAATTAAGGAAGATCTATATGTAGAAATATTGAAGAGATTATTTAATATGTACAAGTATTCGATGTTACCTTTTTTCAGACCAGATTTCGAAGGTGTAGGAAGGCCCAATAGTTGTGTAATCTTAACAGGTTGAGATATCTCTCGAACTAAAAATTACATGATATAAATCATACGATGATTTATCAAAATATACAGTCATCATACAGGAATACAAGTAGAAAATTGACAATTTATAGACAAACCTTTGCTCTCAGATTGTGACAACTTAAAATATGAATGGTCCGCTTTATCTTTTAACCGAAACATCTTGGAGTTGCACTAAACAAAAGATACATTTTCGTAAGTCTTATAATATTGGTGAGAAATACAAATATGTGAAAATACTGGTTTTGTTCAGATGAATTAAATTTAACCATTTGCACTTGAGGGCTCCGGAGCCCTCGAGTGCAAAGGGTTAAAGACAACACAATTAAAAAATTCAATATCCACACATATTTCGTACAGAATATATAAATCCACTATTTTTCTAAATAATCCTGTTTTTATATATCAACACAAAATAACATTCATACACACCGTGGAACTGAGAGTTCTTGACATGATCTGTTTTTTCGGGAGCATATATCCAAGAAGACTTATTCTTTCTCTTACCTATTTCTGTCACTTAATTGTTACAATACACATATCTCCTTATTAATATTCTATTTGTAATAACAGTCTCACGAGCACGACACACTTCAAGTAAATTAGCTGTGACCTTAAGTATTATTTCAAATTCTCCAATAACGGTCTATCGCCATGAAGTACAAAATACAAAATGGTTGGGCTGTGTTCAAGAGCGTCGCTTTGTTGTAATTATTAAGGCACAATTTCATAGTAGCATCGAGCGTCGGAGCCAATCAGCGGATAAGAGTCAAACGTCGATCCAATTAGCAGACAATCCATTGTTGGCTCCAATGCTTGACGCTCGAAGCTCCACGTTACTATGAAAAAGCACCTTAAAGTAGGGCTTACAACGAGAATTTAAGACGTAAGATTTAAGAAATTGACCAATCACAGTTGAATTATAGAAGAAAAATCAACTATATATTATAAAATGATTGGTCAATTTCTCAAATCTTACGTCTTAAATTCCCATTGTAGATCCCGCTTTAGTTCCGGTCTATAATAGGTGCTTAAGCTCTAAGCCTTAAAAAATTGGCCAATCACAGTCGATTATTCTCCTCACATTCCGAATTCAGCTATAAGGAACGAACCTATTTTTGTTTTATGCGTACATAATACATTTTATTCAAACTTGTCAAGAATATTTCAGAAACTGGTACAATTGACAGAATTGTCTTTTAAAACTAAATGTTAATGAATTACAAGATAAAATAGAATAAATAGTTTATGGTAAAATGATTAATTGATCAATTTGATTTCCCATTCCTCTTATCACTGAAGTGAATGACGCAAACATGATAATCATTTGTTATCTTATATCATTAAACTCCGACTGTCACTTTATCGAGAATCTTTCGTAATGGGCACATGTATCACGTGATAAATTGATGGCAATTTAATGGGATAGTTATGATATAACTTACGACATACGATAGGCTCGATGGGAGTTACTCTATAAATTGTGCTCATTTGAATCGCTTAATAAATCGACATTTCGCGACAGACATCTGTTATAAAAGGTATGACAAACTTGATTTCAAATTATAATCGATTATTCCGTACATCTTGAACTCGATAGGATATAATCTTCTTCTATTCACTTACGTACTTTTTCCTATTGCGTAACATTTCAGATGGCAAGTAACGAACAAGGCAAAATGATGAACATTTGGAAAAATGCAGATGCTGTGACATTCGACGTGGATTCCACAGTGATACAAGAAGAAGGCATCGATGAGCTTGCAAAATTTTGTGGCAAAGGGGAAGAAATTGCCGAGTTGTATGTTTCCTTGCTTGATTTTTACTATATTTGCTAATCCAATCTAACTTATATACCAATAAACATTATCTGACCTTATACCAATGTTATAATAACAATGCTATAATTTACCCTTATCAACAAGATAACACATATGTATTAGTTATATTGTTAAATCGAAAATTACAACATTGATGTAATATTATTATTAATTATGATATGTTTTTGAGAAATAGTAGCATATTGGAATCATAAGTCACTTTTACATCATATATTAAATATATATTTTTTTCAGGACTAAATGTGCCATGGAAGGTGATATGACATTTCAGAAATCCTTATCGACAAGATTGCAGATAATAAATCCAAGTTTAGCCCAAATAAAGGAGTTCTTGAACACGCACCAACCAAAACTGACCGATGGTATCGAGTAAGAGATCTATTTGTGGAAATATGGAATAAAGCACTTGTATATTTTGTATATCTGCTTATGTATTATAATATCAACAATTGTAAATGTACTTAGAGAGTTGGTGTCAGCTTTACGAGCTCATGGAAAGCAGGTGTTTCTCGTCTCCGGTGGTTTCGACTCTCTCATCATGCCAGTTGCTGCGAAACTTAACATTCCACCCGAACATCTTTATGCTAACAAATTAATGTTTTACTTTACAGGTAAATATTCTTATTATTTCTCATTGTTTCTCATTGTTTTTTGGGACATTGAGACAGACACACACATACACATATATATATATAATTGTATACAGGAGAATATGCTGGATTTGACAAGGATCAGCCGACCTCTAAAAGTGGTGGTAAAGCCGAAGTAATACAACGTCTCAAAAAAGAAAAAGGATTTGAGACAATTGTACATATCGGCGATGGCGCGACAGATTTGGAAGCATCGCCACCAGCAGACGCATTTATAGGTTTGTCAAATAATTGCTTAAGAGTTTCCAAAGGTCTAAGTATGTGTGTGAAGTTAACCCCGCACTTTTCGAATTTTAAGTTTTTTTCATGGTAGTCTATTATGTTTTCTTTATGCTAACCTGTGCCGCAAACGCGAAATGGGTAACATCAACAACAGATTAAAAAATTATATTAGCCCCGCGCTTCTGCCCAAACGAACCCAATTTTTTTTTTAGCAATTTCTTTAATTCGTGCTACGTTGTGCCATTGGAAGAAATAACGCGTGTTACATAATAGTTATATAACAGTACATAACGTGTGTGTTACATAACAGTTATGTAACCAATGTTACAACGGCATATGCCAATTACACTGTGAATATTATCTGTGCAGCACAATTATCTTTGTTGCAGGATTCGGCGGGAATGTAATTAGAGAAAACGTCAAGTCACGCACGCAATGGTATATAACAAATTTTAATGACCTCACAAAATGTTTATAATCATAAAACAATATATATGAGTAAAAAGAGTGACATATTACGATATTTTGTAAAATGTATGATACTAAACTCTTTTGTACAAAAATGTACCGCGTTTCGCCTTGATCGATCGAGTCAGATTTATGAATAACGTTTTCTTTTATTCTACACACAAGTACAATGTATGGATTGTGTGTTTAATGTAGCAATTTATAAGATCATGTGCGATCTACATGTACATTACATTGTATCATATCGATAATTGTTATCACCGCAGTAAATGTATTCACTCATAATTCTGTACATAATTATGTCGTATAATTCGTATCATTTGTATACACAATTGCTATCTATGGACAAGTCGAACATTAAATAATAAAAAAGGCGAGATGGTGAACCGTTTTATACGTATCCTTTCCTTACGTGCGTTTGAAATAATAATTCAAAACTAAATTCTCTCCCCGGCAATACAGAAATTGTCACGCCTTTTATTACTTTTGATATATTATATGATCTGACTATCTTGAAAATTGCATATTCAAGTTTCGACATTGTACCAGTGTATTATACTAATAATATAACAATTACGAATCAATGCCTTGCGTTTTCTCTTGTTTCTTTCGCGAGATCCAATCCTGTATCTTTCGTTGAAGTTCTATGTCCGGCTTCACCATGTCCATAGTAAGCGGCGAGCGATTGAAAGGATCAGTTTGATCGCTCAGCAAATGCCTGAAATATATATTTATTATATATATATATATTTATATATATTATTATATATAAGGTATATTTGTGTGAAACCATAAAAATATAAAATACGCTTCCTTTAAAGATAAATTCAAGCGTAGGAAGGAGCGGCAAATATGAGCCTTATCTTAGTGTGTATGTACGTAATTATCATATATAGTAAACATTTAACATTACATAATAAATAACGGATATCAAAAGACCGGACCTCAATGTCACCCAGTTTTCAAGATATTTGACTTGTTACGTTTGACATTTAGCAGCCTGTATATAATGTTCAATAAGGGACCTACATAAATATCTCTTGCACAAACTGTGTAAACATGTTTACTTTCCCGTACTTTTTCGTTATTTTGACCTCACCTTTATAACTGACATGATTCCTGCGATTCCTTTCTACGTTAATATTTGAGTAAGTTAAATTTATGTAACGACGCATACCTCGCTATGGTTTGCCGATCGATGGTTATTCGCGAGGACGGCAGAATCACAGGATCCGCCATGACGGTCGACATAATTGGGTCGAGGAATTCGTCGGGAACACCCGTCAGAATTTCATCCTCTTCTCGCTTTTGATTCGCGGCTTTCTCCACGCTCTTCGCAAATTGATCCAGGTCTCCCAAGATGCTGACACCACCGATACGAACTACAACGTGGTTTTTAAGATAAATTCTTATGCCCTCTCACCCGAAGTTGCAAAGTTTATTCAAAGTTTATATCAGACGTTAAAAACTTCGTAATAATACACGAGAAAGGGAATCGAATTAATTTGTACGCCTGACAAATCCGTCGAGGAGAAAAGCTTACCGAGCACGTTATCGGCGAGCTTGAAAAGTTCCGGACTGTAGGAACGTCCATCTTGCGACACTGCCAGCGTGAAGCTTTCGCTTTTACTCAGATTGATATAAATTTTGCATATGTTTAACACCAAGTCCGCCGGGTTAAACCCATATTCCTTCTGATCGTTCACCTGGATTCAGACAGGCGTGAAATTATGATATTGTTCTCAGAAATGATACCCGACGAGTCTTACAAAATTACCTTCAGATTCTTCTTATTCGGTCCCACTAATTGCAGCAGTAAATAATTGAGCATAGAAGCGATACGATCCACCATGGTCGGATGGCAAAAGATCGACTTGATTTCACTGGTCAACATTTTTATCGTCTGTATGGTCTTCCTGCCTAATATGTTGTCGAAGCGGGCGATCATACCGATGTGTTGGAGATAGCCGGCTTGTTGGTCGCGCTCATTCGCCGGCATTTCATCCCATTCCTCGTTCTCCCTGCATAATTCACAAATGCTAGTTAGCGTAAATAATTGGGAAATATTTCTCAAAAAAAAAAAAAAAAAAAAAAAAGCGATGCATCGCGTATATTCCGGAAACATACCTAGCTTGAAGCATCTGTCTCAGCTGTGCCATATTCGATAGAGCTTCGTCTAAAAGGAATACAGCGTCGTTCATTAATAGATTGATGAAACGTAAAAACAGTGGTGGTTGAACCGCTTCCATGCTGCCCTCCGCTTCTTGAGCTAAAGCACTGATATATATATATTGTAATTAAACGAAATGCATCACGCGCTTTTAACGAAAGCTATCCTTAAGAATCTGCACGTGGAAGTTAACTTATCCTCGTACTTGTCATATTTTGAGTCAAATTTTGCGCGTTTGTGTGTATATATCATGTGCCGGGCTGATATTGCTGATTATTATTTTTTTTTTTTTCTACGAAATTACATCACAAGTACATACTCACACAAAATTATTGCGGTGTTCGGGAATCTTCCACAGATAATCCATCACTGTGTACATCGGGCGACGATAATTGAACTTCTGCTCGAACTGCACGCTCTGCCCGGTCATCTCGATGCTCACGAATACGTGCAGCAAATTGACGACTATCTAGAAACAAACAAAAACGGTACGTAAGAGAGATTGGTGTGTTCGCTATTATTATTATTACTATTATTGTTATTGTTGTTGCTGATTATGTTTTCATTATCGTTATTATTGTTATTGCAATTATTTTTCGTTGTTATTATTTATCGATAAATTTAATCAAAATTTCGTGAAAATTACCATTATGCAAATCCCGAGGAATTCTGCTCACCTGTTGCCTATGAGGATGAGTAACGAACAGTTTTCTCCTATGATATGCTCCTAAGTCCGGCGATACCGAGCCTGGGGTCTCGTCTCTCGTAGGTAAAAGTGCCTCCAAGCCTTCGGCCAAACGCGCACGTAGATGAGGATTGTACAAGCGATGCTGGGACTCCATCAGAACTATAAGCTGAAAGACCGATATATACCTAATATATGTTTATACTAACGATTATAACTGATGAACGCGCGCGATGAAAGTATGCGCTCCTTCCCGCCCTTGATTTACCTCCGTCAAGATCGGATTCAGGAAGCTCTGACCTTCTTCCTCAAACGTGTCCGGATTCAGGCGACGTATGAAACACAAGAACTCGATGGTATTTTCCACCACGAACTCGGGAATGCACCTGTGTCGCAAACACGAACTGATCGGTTCTCGCGAAATATTTATCCTGATAATGCACGTGTGAATTATAAGTTTGCAACACCCGTTTTCAGACGAATTTCGCAACGCATCCTGTATAGGAGAGAATTACTGAAAAATGAATTCTCACACAGAGAGCAGATACGCTTTCCTATCGGATACGTCGCGAAAAAAATGTTGCAATCTTTAGTCTGTCGATTTTATGTGTGTGTGTGTGTGTGAGGGAGGGGGGGGACTGACCTCAGTGTAGTAGGAACAGTTTCTGACAGCGGGAATGTAACGGATTTGTATTCTATCGGCGCGAAACTCTGCCTGTCCTCCTCGTCGCTCACGTCGTACAAGTTAACTTGTATCAGCCAAAACGCCGTCATCGCGTGAAATCTCGCCAAGTGTTGCAACATCTCTGACACCAGGAGGCTCGCTTTGAGCGACAAATATCTGTGGCCACGCAAATGCATCGTCATTATGACAACCGTATATACCGGAAGGAAATCGTCGATTTCACACGCACTTCGACACACACGTACTTCGTCATTTCGCTCTCCATTCGTTCCGTTATAAGTTCCAGCACCTCGGGACTGCCACCGGTTCGGGCATCATTGTAAGTCCTCTGTATCCTAGCCAGATCCTGATTCGTCCTGCGGAATCAAGAGTGCACAGAGGTGCGTATAACGCAATACTGTCACCGCTGTTTAACACTAAAACTACCAACGGTTAACGTGTGCTTTTTTACCGGAGCAATTTAAACGAGATCTTTGAAGAAAAAATACATAACGTGAAGGAAAAAATATTTATTCGTATACACATTACGACAAAAATTACGGAAAATCTCGAAAAATGCACCTTTAGAAATTGGAGTAATTAAAAGAAAAACGGTCTTTTTTTCACCACTCTGGTAGTTTTAGCGCTAAGAGAGTCATGAGATCGAGCGATTTTTTTCACCTTGTGAATTTATCAAGTATAACTCTGTAGCCAAGATCTAACGCACGATGCGTGAGGAAGAAGCATTCGGTTATGAAGCCAAATGAGTCCGCTACCGGTCGAGTCTCGCTCTCTGGAGTCGGTATCAAACACGTCTCGGAGCTAAGTCCTTTCATATGTACACCACGTTGCAGAGCTTCGGCTTCATCTTTCGCCTGGAAGAGCAAATATCTATAAATAGATACGCATTTTAAAACAGTCGACGAGATCCGAGAAAGCATCGATGACTTGATCGAGTCGAAACCGCCAATTTTCTGCCGCGAGGGCATTCATCAGCCTACTCGATAAACGGAATAAAGTCATGAAAAATAATGGAATTTATTTCGAACGTTAAACTCGTACCTGACTTTTCTGCAGATAACTTGAAATTTTACGAAAAAAGGGCACCGAATGAATTTAACAGTAAACAAGCGTCATATATAATCTTTCCCGAGCTTTTGAACAACCAACCTCAGCGCCGCAGTACGTAGGATCTATCTTCGGTACTCTGTCGTCTTTCAGCTTGCAGAACGGTTGACAAAGGCGTAGCAATACATTGCCCATATTTAGCATGAAACCATCGGAGACGCACAGTATCGCGCCGAATCCCATGCTGGTGTGAGAGTTCCACAGCTTTCCCCTGTTTGCGTTCGCGTGGAGGCAGTTACTCAACCACTGCAGAGTCAAGTGTCGTGTCTCCGATGAACACTTCAGCAAGGAATGGAAAACCCTGTGCATTTGTTCGCTCAAAATATCCATAGCCGACCATATGTTGCTTTCTATGGCACTGTTCGACTGTAATGATATCGATTATGCATCGGTGCAAATTTCTTGTGATTTTATCAGAAGAGAATTTCATCAGGAAGTACTAACTTGACGGAGAGGATTATCGAAAAGATCATACGGCGCCTGTGCCGTTTTCGGCAGGCAGCTTATACAAAAGAGGGCGCCTAGTAACGTGTCTGAATACGCGCAACCTTGGATACTTTTCGGTGTGCTGTGACGAATGATCAGCTTCGCCAACGATTCAATAGAGGAAAACACATGCAGTAAGGTGAACCACTCGTTTTGATAGGTGAACAGATTACTCCGCGCCACGTCTTTGTGAATGATATCAAGAACAGGTGAGAACGACACCGCAATCACATCGTCTATATCGCTGTCTTCGTTTGCTGCTATCGATTCTTCTATTATGTCGATGACAAATATAGGCAATTCTGTCTTTAATATATCGTCATCCGTGAATAAAGCAATAAGCTGATCATGAACCTAAAATAACAAACATACATATCATATATATATATATATATATATATATATGTTACATTGTAATTACATTATATATAAGTTGATTAATATACTTATGCCTGTTTTTATTATCATGGTTTAATCTAATCTAATCTAATCTACGATTAAGTCAAAGAAATCGACCAACTGCATTGGCCATGACTGAACCAACTAACAGGATCGACCAGTTCTGTTGAGTTAATCGTCGATTAAATTTAAATCACAATGGTAAAGACGAGCATCAATTGACCGATGGTACAATTAATGACTTTAATATATTTTGCAACAAAAAAGAAACTTCTGGGGAAACGTATTTGATATAATCATTGTATCATCGAGAAGAAATTTACCTTCTGATTCTGAAACAAATCTGGCTCCTGTAGAGCTGTGTTGGCATTTCTCAGCACAATTTGGCAGGCATCCCTGATGACATCTTCCACACCGTTCTTCATACGGTACTTCTTCAGACGACAGTAACTCTCATAGAGATAAAATATAACCTGAACCTGAGTGACATGACTGTCGAGGGAAACCTTGCAGTTGTTTTGATGCATCACCTTAGCTTTGGGATTTGGCAGCATCAAACGCTCGAAAACGGCGTGCTCGATCGAGTCGGTATCGATGAAAATCAGGGTTCTCTGAACGTCGTTGCTCTCTGAACCCAACGCTAAGCCGAACACATCTGCCATCAGCTGGTCAATTTTGCCTTTGACATCTGAGGTTTTCGTGTCCGTTGCGTTGTAGGAATCATCCTTGATTACATCCGACGACGATCGTTCCGTGTAATCAGTATTATTGCTCTCATCGTCGTTCGCCTGGTTCGCTTGAGAGGAGAACAAGACTGCATCGTTGACCGACGAGAACAACCCGGCGAACGGATTCTCCTTCACATTGTCGCACATGATTGTGTTTCCTTCCTTACAGCAAAATCCCCGTAATAAAGCGCATAGTTAAACCGCAACTGAACCGACACTTTTCACACCATCGGTGTAGTGCGCGAAAAAAAATCTGCTTCTCACGTTACTCTCAGCGTCACCGATGGTTCGTTCCTTTTGGCTAGCATTGACCGTACTGGTTCACGAAATTCAAGCCCTTTGCACAATGGAGAAGCGCAGAGCCAATGGAATAGAGAATAGCATAGGTGATAGATTTCCAACCTATCGGAAACCGTAGGTTTGTTCCTGCTGGTGTTTGCGACGAGTGGTCGGATTTCCGAAGTTCCGTAAGGCCCGTATCATATTGTACATCAAGATTGAGATTAGATTGAAATTCGACTGATCAGAGCGAGTTTGAAGCCCGTATCATACCACGCATTAGGATTGAGATTGAATTAAAATCTGGCCAGTCAGAGCACGACTCACTAAATTTGAATTTAGCGAACTTTGCACTGATTGGTCAAGTTTCAATTCAATCTCGATCTTCACTCTGTAATCTGATACGGGCTTTACAGATAGCGGTGGTGCCTTTGTTTTGTCACCGAGAAGTGACCGATCGGAACTGGTTCGTACTTGCACACAAATCAAATTGCGTTACAATTATCGTTTTGACACTTGATATCGATCGGACGCAGAATTTTCGCACGTTCCATGTAATCAAAGAAACTATCAATCCAATTCACAAAGTTATGGCGACCACAGACATGCAACAGCCAAGTTATGGCAGACCCGATTTCAGGCGTTCGCAAAAACAGGTTAGGAAATAAGTGTTTTAGTTTTTCAGTTTCAAATATATATATATATATATATATATATCGAGAGTGACTTTTATCAAGCCCATTAATCTAATCGACGTATTCAAAATTCCCGTCATTCGAGTACCACCTGCTTCATTATGCCAAACACAGAAATGATTAATTTTTCGGTATTATTGAACGAGACAAATTGCTGGAAATCAACGTCGACAATTCACACTTCTCATTATCTCATTACTCATCGATTCAGTTTAATCTGAGTTTGACAATGTCATTCTGGAATATAATATATAAGATATTCTACTTTTATTCTACGTACCGTTCTGTCCTACATATTCTTTCGATATATCGTAGGGCCTGGAATTAACGCCGGAAGAGGTGAAAATCTGGCAAGATTGCATGAAAAGCTCAAGCGTCATGGTTCCGTCGATATTTGGTGCGGCTCTGGGATACGGCGTCTTCAGGATATCGCGATATCACGCACAGGCCAAGTATGCTGCTGTGGTCGGTGGCATAGTAGGTATGATAATGGGCAGAGTGACTGCTTCCGAGAAGTGCCTAGGAAAAGTAGCCTCTATGCCAAACAGCACACTGAGAGATCGACTGATGGAATTCAAATATGGAAACAGGCATATGGGGTATCTGCTCATAATAGTCTGATCCTCACCTGTATGTTATTCTGTGCTCCTTTCATTGAACTGATGACTCGTTTGTCCTCTTCTCCAGTGAGGCACAGATCTTCAAGGCACCAGATACGGCGTCTCAAGAAGCTCAGGCTATTGACGAGCTGTCGTCCTCAGCGGGAATGGTGTTCGACGATTACCCACAGATGAACTCGTACGACACTTATTCCAGTCTCAACGACAGCGGTGAGTCTCTCGTAAAAGAGGCTGTTGCTCAATTGCTCGATTCTTCATATACATTTCTCGTGGAATATAGTCAGCCACTAAGAGGGGCTGCGATAATCTTTCTCAACGAGTTTCGTAATGTATCTCGTATATAACAGAGATATATATATAAAATAGAAATATAGAATAACATACAATAGGAAAAGATATCTCTCGAGGTTGACTGGAGAACAAATATTCTTGACTGAACACGGGATGCGTTGCGAAGCTTATCGATAAAAAAAAAGGAAGTGTTGCAATCCTTCCGAGACTGACCGTGCACGAGTTACGTTTTGCGCAGGCGACGCTCCAGTCTCCGAGGACACGGATCTGACCGAGACGATCAGCCTGCCGAAGGGCACCACTTACGAAGAATTGAGACAGAAGAATAGGGAGGCTTATTACCAGAAGGCCAGGCAATATTACGCTCCCAAAACGCCGGAGAGTTATCCCGCGACGAGCCGGCAGCAGGCCGCCCCCACACCGAATGTGCAGGAGAAGACGAAATACGGCGACGTCTGGGGCTGAGGAGCCGGCTCGTGCAATTTCCCCGTCGCAGTCTGATCCCGCTGGCGGATCGAAACCGTGTACATATGTATCGATTAGTTTAATCTGAATTTGATAAAAGTCGTTCTGAATTTGAACATAAACAAGATAGATCGCATATTATACGCTGCATTATAATCAGATCAGGGGGAGAGTGGAAATCCAAATTTTCCGCTAAATATATACAAGATGAAATCTGAATGACGATGTATTTGCGCGCATACGACGATCATAGACGTCGACGACATCGGGGCGCGCGCGCGACGGTGATGATGATTCGTAGATACACGCGTTCTTCGGGCGACGGTGGTTTTCCTAAGCGACAACGTTGAATGATTCACGAGCTTAGGTGGAAACTTGAAATGTAACGTAACTCAGAATGTAATGCGTCGTCGTCGTCGTGTAATTGAGCCGCGCGAGAAACGCGCGCGCGCTACGAATGCGGCTAATTGATGGATGACGCCAGTCCGTGATAAATGCGCGTAAACGCAGCCCGCTCGCTCGGGATCACGCATGCGAAAAAGAAAGGGAGGGAGAGAGAGAGAGAGAGAGAGAGAGAGGCGGCTGCTCACAAAGCTCGCGATGTGTACGGGTAATAATAACGTCTAATGTAACATTGCACGGCTCTCTCGACCTCCTGTCCCCCGCGGACCGGCGCACACATAGTGTCATCCCCGCCGCTGTGTCACCTTGACGTGCCGGAGAGAACCTCGCTCACTTCCCTGTCATAAGAGCCGGTCGCCGCACGCGCGCCTCCCCTATACTTTCCATAAGTTAGTCCGATAATTGCCGTTCGGTATTTGCGCGCGCCGAGTGACGCGCCGCGCGTGATCTGTACTCTCTCTCTCTCTCTCTCTCTTACCCCCCCCCCCC